GCCGCGCAGGGCAGCCGGCCGCCGCTCGCGCTGGTGAACATCCTGACTGCCAAGCCGGTGTTCGAGATCTGGCAGATGCAGCCGGGGCAACCGGGCAGCGCGCCGAAGTTCGGCAAGCCCCTGACCGTGTCACTCACGCCGGAACAGGCCGCCTGGCATGCCTACCTGCTGGCCGACGCCGCCTGCCTGCCGGGCGACCAGATGCTGCTCGGCGTCACCTACCGCGACCCCGCCCCGCGCGAAGGGCTGTTCCTCTACGACCTGGCGGCGCAGCGCTTCAAGAGCCTCGGCCTGGTCGAGCCCGATGCGACCAAGGGGCCGCCGTTCCGGCTGTTCGAGACCTGGCCCGTGGCGGCCAATGCGGCACTGGTGCTGTTCCACACCGACCCGATCCGCCTGAAGGCCGAGGTCTACGCGAAGAAGTTCGGCCACGTCATGCTGTTCTCGGACCGCTACCCGCAGGGGCTGGAGGTGCTGAAGCTCGGCCTCGACGACGGCAACGTGCAGCGCTGGGCCATGACCGGCAGCACGCTGTGGCTCCAGACGCTGGACGCCCGCACGAACACCGCCTTCGTGTGGTCCCTCGACCTGTCCAAGGTGATCTGACCGACCGCCGCCGCGGCGGCACCCCACCTGCGCGTTGCGCCCTCCAGGACCCCGCATGCCCCAGAACGACTGCCTGACCCCGACCGAAGCCTCCTACATCGCGACGAATGCGTACTTCACGCTGAAGGACTGGATCAGCGGCCAGCCCACCGCGGGCGTCGAGACCCGCGCGAACGTGCACAACCGCGTGCTGGGCGCCGGCACGGCCGGCGTCAACGCGCCGGGCCAGGCCAACCCGTCGCTGCAGGGCACCGCGCTGCGCGGCGCGGATCTCGGCAAGATCTTTTCCGGCACCACCGGCATCAACACGCAGTCCGGCTTCGGCTACCTGCTCCAGTTCAAGCAAGGCACGCGGCGCCACATCGTCGTGGCCACGCGCGGCACGCGGCCCGAGCTCGGTGCGCCCGACCTGCTGACCGACGCACGCGGCGCCATGACCGGCTTCGGCGACTTCGGCCCGGTGCACAAGGGCTTCCGCAGGACCTTCGACACCTGCATGACGTCCATCGGCACCGACGAGCGCCTCATCATGGATGCGGACGTGGTGCACTGCGTCGGCCACAGCCTGGGCGGTGCCGTCGCCACGCTGATCGCAGCGCATTTCGCCGCGCTCAAGAAGGACGTCAAGCTCTACACCTTCGGCAGCCCGCGCGTCGGCGCCTTCGGCACGTTCTCGGCCTTTCACCGCGCCATCAAGCAGGAGAACATCTTCCGCGTCGCGCACGACCTGGACCCGATCTCGCTGGTCGGCCCCTACCCCTACATCCACACCAACCCGGGCGCGCGGGACGCAAACAACTTCACGCTGCCTTCGCCGACGGGCGAGCTGTTCAGCACCGCCAACCACGACATGAACCGCTACATCCGGTCGGTCGGCGCGGGCCTGGGCGGCACCTGGGACACGGTGCGCGGCTTCGCGCAGCAGACGGACCACGACAACGCCGTGCTGGCCAAGTGGCTGCTGCACGCCGACAACGACCCGGGCTGGGTGCAGTACGCGTCCGCCAAGACGCTGGGCATCCTCTTCAAGCTGTTCTCGCACGTGCTGAGGAACATCAGCACCTCGCTGATCCTCGGCCTGTCGGCGGTGGACCTGCTGGCCGAGATGCTGCTGTCCGGCATGGCCCGCGCGCAGGCGCTGGCCAGCCAGGTCCACGCGCTGCTGCGGCACGCGGCCAAGTGGGCGGGCATCGCGATCTCGACCGGCGCCGACTTCACGGCCCAGATCATCCGGCGCATCCTCGACGTGATGCTGACCAAGCTGCAGCAGATCGGCGCCGTGGCGCTGGCCATCGGCTCGCGCGGCCTGCTGCCGCTGCCCTTGATCATCAGCGGCGGCTGGATGCTGGCACAGGCGCGCGGGCTGTGATGTCGAGCCTGGCCCCCGAACAACTGGCCTACATCGTCACGCACGGCGAGCTGCTGGTGATGCTGTCGCTGCGGCGGCTGGAGATGATGCTGGACGCTAGCGCGGAGGACGCCCCGGCGCCGTCGGCCGAAGAACTGGCCGCCGCCGAGGCCGTCACGTTGGCCGAACTGGCCCGGCAGCAGCAGCAATGGCTGACGCAGTCCGTGGATGTGGCGCCCGTGGCCGACGCCCACGTCACCCTCGCCGCGGCGGCCCTGCCCGACGGTCACGTCGACCTCGGCCCCGAGATCGAGGACGCGCTGGCACACGCCTATGCGTCGATCCCGGCGCGCACACAGGCGCTGCAAGGCGCCGACACCGCGAGCCTCGTGCTGGCG